CATAGGTGGATAGATGGAAGGCTGGATGGATGCATAGGTGGATAGATGCATAGGTGGATAGATGGAAGGCTGGATGGATGCATAGGTGGATAGATGGATAGGTGGATAGACGGAAGGCTGGATGGATGGATAGGTGGAAGGCTGGATGGATGCATAGGAGGATAGGTGCAAGGCTGTCTGGAAGACCTTTTATGGGCACATCTGGGAAGATGCTGGGTGTGTAGCAGCGTCCTCTCCCCAGTTAGTGCAGCCTCCATGGGAGGCACAGGACCAGAGGATTCCAGGAAAAGAGTGGCTGAATAGGGCCAACAGCTGTCCTCTCTCCTTTAGAAATGTCCAGTCGCACACTCTTTGGGGCTGTGACAGACTACTCTGAATTCTGGTTTGTTTGTTTTTTCATAATTTTTTTCCTTGGGGATGGGGAGAGATAGACCAGTTTTAAGGGACTCCTAGTAGACTTTCCCTACTCTGCCCGAAAGCTGACATTAGTAGCTCTTTTGGGGGGATTAAGCATGGTCCTTTCACTGAATCATAACTACTCTTTGTGGAAGACATAGTTGGTCGCCCATCCTCCCTTCGTCTTGCTTGAGAACAGAACCCCAATTTGGTCCTGGTATTGGGAAGCCTATGCTCTGGGGAGGCCTGACCCAGCACTAGCCCAGGAAGGGAACCATGATTGGCCGGAGTCAACTGTGGCTGTGTCACCCCCGGCTGGTGATTGGGTCAGAACTGTCCTGGGAATGCGACCCTAACTAACAGGATGTGAGGTGCTCCTAGCTTCTGAGGGTTTTCCTCACTTTAAAAAAGTTTCATGAAGGAGTACATCTGTGTCATGTCCCTTTTCCTGATCCTAAAAAGGATCAAGGTTTATTTCACTAGCAGAGGCGAAGGCACATAACAAGGGGCTGGGAAGCCATGTGGTTCCTATTGGCAAGTCATGGGCAGGGTCCCCCAGGAATGATGCTCAGACCCAGGGAACTATGAAAGCATGCCCACTACTGAGTCCCATCCCATTCAGGCCGACTCTGATTCTCAGAGGGCGGGACCTGGATCTCTGCAGGGTCGACATGCCCCTCCCATCCACCATCATGCTGAGACAGGGGAGGCTGAGAACCACTGAAATAGACCAGGGACAGGGAAGCTCTTCTGAGACGGGGGTTCAAGGCCCAGAGGTGTCTTGTCAGGAGATGTTAGAATTCCTCTCTCTTGACACATTGAAGGGGCCAAATGGATTGGCTTCTGGCTTTCCTAGAATATATGGAGGGAAAATTTGTGAGGAAGGAACAGGCCTCAACTTTGGAACTTCTTGGAGAACATTCAGAATGCACACATTGAGTTGTCCAACTGAGGACCTTGCCCTGAAGGCTTGGGAGGCCACCACGCCTGGGCCCTTCTGCTGCCAGCACTCACGTGCTGTCAGCCTCTGCTGTGGCTCCTGTGGAAATACTGTCCTCCCCTCTGGTTCTGAGGAGCAAACTGAGACCTCATTAAAAAACACCAGGGAAATTGAGAAATTGCTTTTCGTTTTGACTTTTGCTACTTTTCTTTCACAGCTCTGGTTGTGACTTCCCCCATTCCCTGTGGGAGACAGAGACAAGGAGGCAGAGAATCAGAGAGAGAGAGAGACACACACACACACACAGAGACATACATAGAGAGAGAGAGAGAGAGAGAGAGAGAGAGAGGCAGAAACAGAACAACACTCAGAGAATGACAGACACTGGAAGACAGAGACACATTCTCCCTTTCACTAATTGAAGATATATTTATTGAGAACCTACTATGAGCCTGATACACACAAGCCCCTAATTAAACATGCCACACATCACACGTTGTTTACATCATCTCCCCAATCCCCATCTGGCTCTTAGGTAGAGGTTGCTGTTTCCACTAAGACCAGTAGGTGTCATCATGTCAGCGGGAAAGCCAGGGGTGCCTGGGATTTGAGAGTCACCTACAAAAATAAATTCTATCTCATCTAGTGATCTGAGTGCCATTACGTGCAGGGCACCAGGCAGGACATGAAAGTACATGGGGTGAGAAGCACATAGTCCCTGTCCTCATGAAGTTTGCTGTGACATCAGGACCTGAAAGGAAAAGGTCCTAAGTCACAAAAAGAGGTAGAAGGCAGCAAGTGCTCCAGGAAAGATTTAACCAAAGGACTGTGTGCATTCTTTGAATATCAGAGACCTCAGAAAAGCCATCTCCCACCTTCTAACATTACAGAGGAGGGAATAGTCTCAGAGAGGAAAGGTGATTGGCCTGGGGGTCACACGGCAATTCCAGACTCCAGATCTTTTGACTCCTAGAACAGTGCCCTTTTCACTAAACATTCTGTCTCAATTATTGAAGTTGCTTTTTCCATCTTACAATTCAAAATTTCACCTTGGGGCTGTCCAAATTAGATCGTGGTGCTAATAACACCAACATCCAGGGTTTAATTCCTGTACTGGCCAGCAGAAAAAAAAAAATGTCCTCCCCGATGCCTACTGCAAGGCACCCCGTAGATCAATCTGCATCTCAGAGAAGGCAGCTGCCTTCATCCCAGGCCCTGCAGTGCTAGAGTGGGCTCACACAGGCTCCAGAGAGTTGATTTTGTGTATCTTTTCTCAGTGACATCATGTTAGTAGGTTGAAATTGGCTATGGTGGGAGTATTTACACCATAGAAAATGGCAATAGCTATAAATCAGAGCTTTATTTTTTTTCCCCCAGAGAGCTGCACACACTGAATTAGTATCCCTACAGAAATTTATTTCCTTATAGTTCTGGAGGCTGGGAAGTCCAAGATCAGGATGATGACACTTGGCAAGGGCCTTCTTGCTGTGTCATCCCATGGTAGAAGCCATCATATGGCTGAAGGGCAAGAGAGGGTGAGAGAGAGACAAAAGGGGACTGAACCCATCCTTTTATAAGGAACCCTGTTTTGAGATAATGACATTCATCAATTCATGAGGGCAGAGCCCTCAGGGCCCAATCACCTCTTAAGGCCCCACCTCTTAATCAAAACCACACTGAGATACCATCTCACCCCAGTGAGGACGGCTAAAATCCAAAAGACTCTGAACGATAAATGCTGGCGAGGTTGTGGAGAAAAAGGAACTCTCATACATTGTTGGTGGGACTGCAAAATGGTGCAGCCTCTATGGAAAATGGTATGGAGGTTCCTCAAACAATTGCAGATAGATCTGCCATATGACCCAGCTATCCCACTGCTGGGAATATACCCAAA